CGGGGAGCCGGAGGTCGTCCGCAGTGCGCGCGGCCCTGCGTCTCCGCCGCGTTACGGGGCGTCCCGGGCGGCTTCTCCAGGGCGTGCGCGGGGGGCGGGGCCTCGTACTGCTGAGTGTGCACGCTTCCTTCGTCTTGCCGTGATTTGCTTGTTATGTCCTCCGGAGATGCACTTCTGATAGCTATTGTGAAGTGACAGTATCCGGTATTTTAGAGGTGCCAGAGTCCTGTGTTTATTGGTCAGTTGTTGACATATTTAAACAGCGGAATCTGGAAAAATTGGGCTTTCTCCAATACCAGTTTGGTTATTAATATTTGTAAACAAGTTAGTGATAATTCACCTTCCACAGCTCTACTTCAGGCATTAAGCTTGGGGTTCGAGTTCTATTTTACATGAATATATTTAAGAAAACATAATTTAATGAGCTAGTTTTTGCTAGGCTTATATTGTGGGATTTTGTCCTTTTTTACCTAGATTTTTAGTGGTGTGTGTGTGTGTGTGTGTGTGTGTGTGTGTGTTTGCGACAGGGTCTTATTATTATGTAGTTCAGCTTGGTCTTGAACTCACTACGTAGCCTGGCCTCAAACTCATGGCAGTCCTCCTGCCCCAACCTCCCGAATGCTGAGATTATAGGCCTGCGCCACAATGCCCGGCTCACCTAGATTTTGAAGCTCACTCGCGTGAATGCTTTTTATTAATATCTTCTTACATTTTAATATTTTTAGTATCTGTAACTTAGTCCCATTTTTTAAATTTGTACTTTTGCTCTTGATTGGTTGATGAAGAGGTGTATTGATTTCACTAGTCTTTGCAGAGAACCAGCTTTTTTCTTTTTTCTCCTTTTTCTTACCTTTTTGATTGGACTTGATTTTTTGAGACGGGTCTCACTGTAATCAACACTACCCTTGAACCGGGGATCCCAGGCTGGCCTTGATTTGTGATCCTCCTGCCTCAGCCTTCTGAGTCCTGGCATTATAGCCGTGCCCCACTGCACCAACATGTTTATTTTTCCTTTAATAATTTTTGCTTTTCATTGTTTTTCTTTCTTGGAAAACTTTCAAACTTTTTTGCAGTAAGAGTTTAGCTCATTAATTTGTAGCATTCTTCTTTTTCAGTAGAAGCATTTAAAATGACACATTTGCCTATACATACAGCTTTAGCTGTATGAATTTTAAAATGTTTGTTTAAGTTAAAATTGGAACATTGTAGTTCCTCACAGAAGTCTAAAGACTTTTGTAGTGCTGCTTTCTTTAGTTTGTTAGGTAGATGAAGTAAACGCTTATTGATGGCATATCGTGTTAATAGTTATTTACTAAAGGGATTTAGTTACTGCTTGCCTGAAAAGATGGAGGCTGATAATAAATTGTAGCTTGTTTGTAGTCTTAGAGATAAAGGCAGTTAAATTCGTAATGTATTAGTGGCACTAGCCCGAGATCTGGGTCTTAGGAGGAGAAGTTCTTAGGCAAGGAAAAAGGGGATTGAACCCAAGGACTTTGCTCTGAGATACATCCCCAGCCCATTTTTAAGTTTTAAACTTTGAGACAGAGTCTTGCTGAGTTCCCAAAGCTGTACTTGAACTTGTGATCCTCCTACCTCAGCATCTCAGAGAGCTGGAGCAATATGTGTGTGACACCACACCCACCTTGAAATACAGTGTTTTCAAAGTTCCCGATATCAGCGTTACAATTCATAATTTACGCTAATTAAATATCTTTAAAACATCATTAGTAATAATTTTTAAGTAGATCATTTTAATATTTCTTGGTTGTTTAAACAACTGGGATCTCTATGATGATTTCCTGAAATAAACTTGTACTAATTAGATCTTTCATGTCTTTACGTTGTAATAGTAATCCCTGTATCTCTGCATATTTTGTTAACATTGTGCAGCATGCTAGAAATTCATCATGGAAAAACAGTCATTAAATTTTCTTGGAAAATGTAGGTAATAAAGCTGGAGAAGAAAGAATGAAAAATGAATGTTCTTTTATCCAGATTGGTAAACTGTTCTATGAGAAAGTGAAAAATTTTATACTCAACCTGTAAAGAAATATCAGGCACATACTGTGTATTTTAATACTTACGCTTCTGAAGTGTGGTGATGTTCGTGTCTTTCCTTACCAGCAAGTAAGGTGTAAGTGTCTTTACTTTGAGGACTTTTTTCTTTTTTTGTTTTTTTTTTTGGTTTTAGACGTTGAACTTGGTCTTGTGCATGCAAAATACATTCTGAACAACATCCTTACCCCTAGAGGAGTATTTTGAAAAGAAAATTTTGATTTGGCAATGATGTCATTGAAACCAAATTTTATTTTTTCTCATTGAGTTACTTTTGAAGCTTGGATTTTTTTTTTTTTTTTTGATACTCAGAATCGAACTCACAACTTCTCACTTGCCAGGCAAGTGCTATGCAGCTAGGCTACCTCCCCAGCCCATTAAGTTAAAGTAACAACATGGATAAAATACATGTGTAGTATATTTGGTGAGATAAATATCACAGTATAAGAAAACACGGTGTGTAGTGAAGAGCTGTTTTGCCCTGGGGTTATGCTTCCCAGCAAGGCCAGGTGTTTTCCCTAAGGCTTCAGGATTGGTCAGTGTAAGAACCAGAACTGAAATCTCAGGCAAACTTGATTCCCAGATTTCTGGAAGGGTAACAGTTATAAACCTGTTTACTCATTGTTCATATCGTTAATAAATTCTAGCACTCCTACACTTGATCTTAGCCAAAAGCCCAAGAAGTGGTATATAGCAATCTTAATTAGTGGAAAACTTTAAATGAGCAGTGTTAACAGACTTCAATTAACAAAGGAGGAAATGGAAGTTGTATTTTTATAATCCACCGCAAAGCTCTGTGCTGCTTGCTCTATCACAGGCTTCATCTTATTTGATGATTAGAACATCCTGCGTCTGGAAATGTTAATACAGAAGAGTCTGAAGGGAGAGGATGTAAGTTGTAGCACAACAGGTTTAAATTAAACCAGGAAAGCATATTTCAAAAAGTGTGATACAGATTTTTGAAGGAAGTTTATGTTTCTTAAAAAAATAAACAGCTGGTTCCATAGCACCTTTAGTGGTCTGGGTTTTGTGAAGGCTGGGGAGGGGCATGTTGAAAGGGCCAGCTGATACGCTTCAGAGGACCGTATCTGGTGTGAGGATGCATTTTTGGGCTAGATTAAAAACATACAAGCAATAGTTAAAAATTAGGAGTTAGGATCAGAAAAATCAGATCTGGAGCTTTTTTGAGAATGCTGAAAGACTGACAGTGGGCTCCAGTTCCTGAAGGACTCCCGGAGGGAGTGGAGTCTCTTGGGCAGGGTGTCCTCCCCAGCACCCTCCTTCCAGTCCCTGCAGGGAGTTTCCAGGGGGCCCTTTCAGGAGGCGCTTTCAGCAGGTGGGGCTTTACTTTTGTACAAAATAAGTCAACTGTTTCTCTTCTAGAAAACTAATTTCTTAAAGTGCTGCAATGGGAATATTTGATGTAAAAACCTGTGGTTCCCTTTGATCTTTCAGCTTAGGTGCGGGCTTCATAAAAACTAGAAGGTGGCAGTAACACTACAGGGTCGCAGTGCAGGCCACCCAGGACCTGGTTTATGGGAGTATTTTGCCCAACCCCCTGGCGATAATAATTTTCCATCCTGGCCACTGTGTTAGAGGAGCAAAATGACGTCTAGGAATTTGAAAGCTCCTGCTGTGCGTGTGGACAGTGAAAGATCCAGCCCTGGATGACTTAGTGGATGAGACTGTTGCTTGTTCCTGTCACCTGGAGAGTGGAAGGCCCTCTTGGACGGCTGTGTCCCTCACTTGGGGGGTGTGGCTCTCAGTTTCCCGTGATCACTCAGTCAGCAGAGCCACCGGGAGCCCGGGCAGCCTCGCAGTCCCAGCATGGCAAAGGGCTTTCCATCCTGGGGGATCTCTTTCTTAGATCTTCTCAAAGACAGCAGTAACCTGTTCTGGTAGGGTTAGTGGAGTCCTTAGGCTCATTTAATTTGAAAGATAAACCAAAACCTTGAAGTATTCGGAATGAGTCTCCTGGAAAATACTGCTATCAGAGGAAAAAATGGATGTTACTGGAGAAACGATTGGTTATGCAAGTGCCCTAAGAGTAGATTTAAATTATTTCCTTGCATATTTGCTGTTTAAAGCTAATGCCAAGTGGTGGATTTTTTTGAATGTGTCTTATTTAAAATGATATTCTCTTACCTCAATTGAATATATTTTGCTGATGGGCTTCTGTTATATTTCTTAACTGCTGCAATTATAAAAATACCATGTCTGTTGTTTTCTGGTTGGGCTTTATAATGGAGCCTACATAAAAATTATATTTCTCAGTTAAATTAAAATTATTTTTTCTTAATTTCCTGGCTTATGTCACAGAGATGGGTCTACTACAGGTGACAAGTGAGGATAACGGCATTTGTGGGTGTAATTGGTGCACTGGTGGATGGAGGGAGAAGTAGGAGTTGGTGGAGGGACCCCATCCTGACCCTGACAGTGCAGGGCCTTTCCAGCTGCTGAGACAGGGCCTCCCCTGCGCCTGCCCTCCCAGCCCTTTCTGCCCCTTATCCTCTGCATACCTGAGCACCCACGCGGCACCAGGAGTTCTGGGTCAGCTTAGGGTCCATCTTTCCAGCTGGTGCCTAAGGCCCCTTCACCACGAGTCTCATCACCCCGAGAAAGCAAAACTAACCTTATACCAGCCCCTTCCGGTTCATAGCACCCACTCTCGCC